ACATGAATTTGGAGAAGAGTTTTAAATTCCAGGGATAAGAGGAAAAGTTCATGATAATCTAGCTAAACTCTCCTAGAAGATCACCTGTATATTCAGTTTCTAAACTTGGTAGATAAGCTAGCCTACCAAAGCTTCTCGACTGAGTGGTGGAGGCTTAGTAAGAATGCAGAAATGCTTCTGGAGTACAGCAGTGGAGAGCTGCAGAAACTGTTTTCTCCTTCCCTTTCCTGTAGTTCAGTGGTTTTACTTCCTTTAAGTCAACTGCAGCAGAACTTCCTCTGAAAAGAGGCAGTTGTCTCTGATAGTATGAGGGGGACTGGGAAATGGAAGTTGGAATTTGGCTATGGGACTGGGTGCTGTGAAGAAGCTCACTAGATTCCTGACAACTGGTTCATCTTTTGTCAGCACGAGGATTGGCTATGCTCCATCATCCTGGATTGATGACTACTTTGACTGGGTGAAGCCACAGTCATCCTGTTGCAGAGTCTACAATACCACTGGACAGTTCTGTAATGCTTCAGGTACCAGCATGTTGTTACTCTGGGACTGGCTTGCTTTATAGGAGCTTCTCTGCCAATGTGTCTGGTCATGATGCAGGCCAGCTGAGTGGCTTTTCTTACTGCGAGTATTGTGCCTCTGGAGTATGTGATAGGTTGTTTCTGAGTGAACTTAAATACCCTGTCTACAGGCTGAAGACAGCTAATGTAATGACTGTGCAAAAAACAGTAGTACAAAAGTAACTACTGTCTGGTAAGCCTTACTTTGGTAGTAACTTGGAAATCCAAAAGCGTGGTGGCAAGTTCTCTGCAGAACTACATTCTTGGCATTTTTATCAGTGAAAGCGCTTTTCATGGGTTTGAGCGTGTTGCAAGACAAAGAATACTTGCTTCTGTACCTGACCTGCTCTCTTGATTGCTTTCCCAGTCACTGATCCATCCTGCACTCGTTGCCGACCACTGACTCCAGAAGGCAAGCAGAGACCGCAGGGGGAAGACTTCATGAAGTTTTTGCCTATGTTCCTATCCGACGACCCTAGTCCTAAATGTGGCAAAGGGTAAGAGCCGTATTCTGTATATCCTGCTTAAGATCAGTATGTCAGGTACTGGTGTGTCATGCTGACAAAGCAAGGGTGTCTAGAAGCTTGGATATCTAATGTCTGTCTATAAAACTCCTACAAAGTCTGTTGGTATATGTTCACTGACACTGGTATTTAAATTTTTGCTCCCTTTATTTAGAGGACATGCTGCGTATAACTCTGCTGTTAACTTCATCAACAACAAATCTGATGTTGGAGCTACTTATTTTATGACTTACCATACTGTATTAAAAACATCCTCTGACTTCATTGATGCTATGAAGAAAGCTCGGATGATAGCGGAGAACATTACTGACACCATGGGCATCAAAGAGAAGAACTACCGGGTGTTCCCTTACAGGTATGCATACATCCTTTAGGCTGTAGTGACAAAAATGCCTGAATTCTACAGCTGAACAGAAGGACTGACTAGTGCTTCTGGGGTCTGTCACCGCAGAGCAACAGCCTAGAGCTATTGCAGGTGCCGCAGATGATCTGCAGCTACTCACACTGAGATACAACCATTCCAGATACAGTCTTTACTGAGTAGTGCTGAGAACTTGCTATTAGCAGGGCTGCTGCAGGGGATGCTAGGGAGGTAGTTCCTGTTGGAGACCCTTAGAAAGGAGGGGCTCCTTCATCCTTTCTACAGAAGCTAATCTAAAATCAGCACCCTAGTCTCTGTGCTCATGACCTCTGTGTTCTGCAGTCTCATATACACTAAGCAGCTCAGAATTTAGCCACTGCTTAAAGTCGCTTTGGAGTTATCTGTGGTAGGCTGGATATGGGGAGTGGAGATTGGGAACTTGATCCTGAAGTTCAGGGCTGCCTTTGGCTGTTTGTGGGAGACTCACTGGGGTGGCCTTCCTGAAAAGCAGAATGTCTAATGTAACTCCTGTTCTTCCCACAGCGTGTTCTATGTCTTTTATGAGCAGTACTTGACAATTGTGGATGACGCCGTATTTAACCTGTGCATCTCCTTGGGCTCGATCTTTTTGGTGACAGCTGTGCTGCTTGGCTTTGAAATATGGGCTGCTTTTGTGGTTACAGCGACTATTGCGATGATAATCATCAACATGTTTGGGGTGATGTGGCTGTGGGGGATCAGCTTGAATGCGGTTTCCTTAGTAAATCTAGTAATGGTAAGTCAATGGGAGCATCTAGTTTTCTGAGTCTGGGATGGTTCTGTGTGATCTAATATGTACCTTTTGGGAAACGGGAGAATTTCTGTTAAACGTCAGGGGCGTGAGCAACAGGAGAGCATCTTACTGCTTCTAGCTGTTATCTGGAAACCTTGACTTTGTATGGCTATAGTTTAAGTTCTAGTTAACACTTGATGACCTATTAGTAAGCTGCACTGTTGGTGGTCTCTGCTGCTGCTGTGCAGCAACAGTGGGGTTGCTGCATTTTAGACTGAAGTGCTATTGCACATCACTGGAGGCTGTAAGCTCTTTGAAAGCTTTTAAAAGCCTTAAAAGTTAGTGCTTAACTGTGCAACTTCTAAGGGTATGTTAACCCTGGAAACTGATGCAGGCTGCTGTAGCTTTTCAGGCAGCGTGGTCCTAAGTTCCAAGATAGGCTTATCTACTGCTGCCTTATTTTATGTCTTCCATGTCACACTCCAGAGTTGCGGTATTGCTGTGGAGTTCTGCAGCCACGTGACAAGAGCATTCACCGTTAGCGCCAAGGGCAGTAGAGCAGAGCGTGCACAAGAAGCCCTTTCTCACATGGGCAGTTCTGTAAGTACCACTTCTATATGGGGCAGGTAAAATGGCTGGCAGGCTTTGTAGCTTCAGGAGACTGTGGCAACATCTTTGAGGATGCTTTCCTCATAAGCATCATGAGGCATGCTTTGCTGTTTCTTTCTGAGGTCAGGTCAAGTGCCTGGGGATCAGCGTAGGCTTCTGCTAATATGGGTGATCAAAGACTTCTATTGCTAAGCCAGTATAACTTTGATCTAGCGGCAGTAAAGAACAGCACAGCTAAAGCTTCAGCTTTAACTGAACCAGCAGCTTGCAGGAACTATAGTTGAACTGAAATACTACTGCTTAAGTGCATCCCAGCCATCCAGGTACCTGGAGGTAAGTGGGGAAGGCCATTCCAAAGGATGGCACTGGGGCTTTGAGAACACAAGGCTAGTGAGGACAAGTATTGCCTAATACCAAGATGAGCAGCTGGCCATGGTTGAAGCAGAAGAGCCTGACCCAGAACAACTTTGTTGAAGCCTGAGTTGCTACAAGTGAAGGCTTTAATCTGTTTGCCTGAATTCAAAATGATACTCAAGTGGCTTTACAGCTTAGAATGGAATTCCTAAGCCTTTCCAAGAGGAAGGAGACTTCCTGAATCCTGAACTTCTTGGTGTAGCCAGCATTAGCTTTCTCTAACAGCATCTCCTGGGCTTAAGGCATGAGGCTGTAGAAGGACCAAAAATTGATCTCTTAACTCTTCTCAAGTTAGACTGGGCTATGATTTTAACAAGGAAAGGAAGTAGGAGGATCCCAGTTTATGTGGTGGTGTTTGCAAAGATTGATTCACTAATTAAGTGGGTTACTAAAAGCTCAGTGGCACTTAAAACTTTTTTTTTTTTTTTTTTGCTTGTCAGGTTTTTAGTGGCATCACACTGACTAAATTTGGAGGAATTGTAGTACTGGCTTTTTCCAAATCTCAAATCTTCAAGATATTCTACTTCAGGATGTATGTAGCAATGGTGGTGCTGGGAGCAACACATGGACTCATCTTCCTTCCAGTCCTGTTAAGTTACATAGGTAAGATGTGACAGCCTCAATTCCTTGCAAATGGAGATAGCTAACAACTTGTGAAGGCTCCATTAACCAGGCAAGGGGAGTGCAGAGATGGACATGCAGCAGCTCAATCTGCCTCTGCAACAGACCAGCAGTGGCCAGGGGTGCTTGGAAGGTGGTATGCTAGTATGCCGAGGCGGGGGAAACCAGCCTAGCATGGCTATGCCATGGGCCCATGCAGCACCCCAGGCTGCACCTGGGGCACAAGGGAAGCAACAGCTTGCTCAGGGGTATGGGTTTTGGACCCACACAGGTGCCACTTTATGGCAGGAATGGCCTAACCAGTGTCCTTTCTGACATGGAAACTGGTATATGGGGGAAGCTTCCAAAGTGCAGTCCTTTCTACTACTACTACTAACTCCTTAACTGGGGCCTTACTAAAGAAGTTAAGACTGAAGGTGGTTCCCTCTTGCCCTTGCTGCTGCTATCACCTACTGCGTCTGCACAGCAGCATCTCCCACGATGTCTTCATCCACCTTACTGCTGAAATAGCTGAGATGGTGATGCCACCTCCCTGCTGATGGGGGCTAGATAGTATCTGCTGTAAAGCTAACACTTCAGAGTAACCTCTCTCTTTCAGGCCCATCAGTCAATAAAGCTAAAACTCGTGCTGCACAGGAGAGGAGCAGGGGCACAGAACGTGAGAGACTCCTCTACTTCTAGTCCTTTTAACCAAGTGTTCAGTGGACTCTACGAATTGCGGCTGAGATGCCGCTCAGCCTAAGAACTCAAGTGCAGCAGAACTCAAGTCCTCGTTGCTGCACTGCAACCACCCTTGCACAGACTCCTCCACCGATTCAGCTAGAAGAGATCAGCTGCAGCTTTGGACTTGGCTTTAAACTCAGGAAATACTACCTGTGGCTCACGTAACAGTATTAGTAAAACTAAATGCATTAACCAGACTAAAACACTTCTGTTGTCAAGAGGTTGCATCTGTTCTAGGAACCTAAACCAGCTGCACTGCAAGTTGAAGAGCTTTTGTCAAGAAACCTGAGGTGACGTGTATGAGAATGGACTGCTATTCCACTGACACTAATTTTAAATGCAGGTCAATGCAATATTTGTTTCTATTTTTAGGGGGAAGCCATCACAAGTTGTATTATTTTTAGTACTATTTGCCAAAATGTCTTGTATATACTTTATTATAAAATAGCAATTTTGTAGTTCAAAATCTACTCAAATGCAATAAATTAAGTTTATACATTTCAGTGGAAGAGTATTCAGAAAGTTGTGGGCTTCATGAGTGCTTGTTCTCCAAAAACCTGTTTAAAGAAGGTGACATGTTCTTCACAGTGCTCACCTAAGAGGACAAAAGAAAAGTTAATATTGGCACTGAAATTAAGAAAAACTGTTCATGAGCATTAACATCTGGTGTAGCTTCATTTTTTAATGCAGATATTTTCATCATTAATGCCTTGGAGCAGAGGAGTTGAATAATTCTCGTTTAAAGCATGGACTCCTGAGGTGTCTGCAGTCCTGGGCTGACTGGTCTTGTGGTGAAACAGCTGTCTGGCAGTTACTGCATCCAACCAGCAGCCCTGCATCCATGCAAAGGCTCTAGTCCACACTTAACGACACTGCACAGAACTCAGCCTGGGGACTACCTTGCTTATGGCCTGTTTCTGGTGCAAATGGTTTACTTGGAGGGTTTAAGGGAGGAGAGTTATCGAGAGTAAGCCTAGTCTTTCTGGAATGTCTATTTCTATAGACAATGACATCAAAAGGTTTTCCTCAGCCCCATTCCTGGCTTCGCTGAAAGCACCAATGGGAGGTGATGGCTCTGTTAAACTAAGCAGTGCAGGCAACCCAGCAGGTTAGTCTAAGCTGCAAGTTCCTGTGTTTCCCTTAAACTAGCTTTATTTCTTGGTGCTGTATGCTATGGGATAAGTGAAGCTGACCCTGAAACTCTGCTTACAGTTTGTGATGCATTTTAGGCTTACCTTTATTTCCCCATACTCCCTCCCCTGGAGTGGAAGTGAAAGATCATAACTCACATGTGCAAACTGAATCATCAGGGCTAAATTCTCTGCTTACTGCTCACCTGGTGTGAAACTTGGGTTTCCTCGTAATCGCTGATTTCTTTGTTCAAAAAATCTGAATATAGTGTAGAAAAGCATGTCATCTTCTGCCTGTTTTGCTGCATCAAGGAACTTGCGGGCTGAAATACTGTCGTGTCCTCCAATACCTCTGATGAATCTCAGGGCAGCCAGAACTTGGTGCTTGGACAACAGAACTTCTACTATCTCATCATTTGCTGTGGAAAGCCTCTGAAATGAATCACAGCTCTAAGCACCTCCATTCTAAGGAGGATTCTAGGTAGTCACTTCTAGCTTGATCAGGTAACACATGACATGAGTTACTACAGGCTGAAATGCTTACTTTTAACATGTCCAGAGAAAGCTGATGGGCAGGAGGGTAAATGCTTTCCAGAGACAGTAATAAACAAGCCTAGGGTAAAAGTAGAAACACCCTTAAAATTGAGGACTCACCACCTCAGCGGGCATTTACTGAAGCAGCTGCTCCCTTTACATACCAAAGGCTTGGAGTCGCTGAGAACATGGTACTGCAGGAACTGGTGGAGCATGTAGAACAAGTTGTGCTGAACCAGGGTTTTGATGACCAGCTCATACAAGTAGTGCTGTGAATGCAGGAAGACCATTAAGTGTATGTCTTGCTCTACCCTCTTTTAGAGAAAGAAGGTACTAGCACTTTTAAACACTAGCACACTATTCCTTGTGCTAGTCTTTATACCTGAAGCAAAGAAAAATAAAGCTGAGATTTTTTCATTACATATGTGAAGGTTGGTGGTTTCCTAGCATCAAGTGCTGTTGGTTCTAAAGTTGTAGTGTCAGGTCTAAGCTCTTACTCAGGGACCAAGCCTGGCCTAAGCTATCATGTAATTTCACTGAGTGAGAGGACAGAGCTGCTATCTCATGCCAGTAGAAGTGCTTTACCTGAACAGCGATCTGGAACTGGTTAAGGGAGCGAATGTACTCCATGAGGACTGCTATGGTGAACTTATGAGGTGCTTCCTGCATAAGAAAAAAGTGTTACAGGGAACTTGCAGGGCCTTCCCAGACAGGGGGAAGTTCAACCTGTTAGGATCGTAAGGCAGGCCCTAATCCTGCCACGCATGATGCTTCCTGCAAGCTAGGCTGAATGATCAGCTGCTAAAGCTACTGCCAACCTCTGCCCTTAGTGAACTTACCTTCTTCTCTGTGAACACAGACAGAACATGGGTGTACATGTCAGACTGGTCGATGACAGCCTGCGTGCGGACGGGGCGCTTCAGGAGCAGATTGCTTCTACTCTGGCCTGCTTCTACCACCTATGAGAGGGCAGCATTAGTAAAAGCCTCCCTTAGCGCTGAACAGCACAGGTTTAATGCAGTGGCAGTCAGAGACTGGTTTGTATTGCTTATGCAGGGAGTACAGTTATATGTGGCCACCACTGTGGATCTGCTCAATAAGAGGGAAGTTTATTCTAGCTGTACTTTCCTCATAGAACATGGACTTTGCAGAGTGATTTTAAAAGTCACTGTAGCTAAGGATTGTACCTTCACACCAGCAGAAAGCTGTGTAAACACAGTATATAACTGTATTACTGCAGCTAGTGCTGGACTGCTGGCTTAGCTGCCTAATTCTGCCCTTTGCTCCAGCAGCAGGACTGAGGTGGTGGCAGATGGTCACTGCTCTACAGCTTCTTGGACAGTTATGGATGGGGTTGCTTGTTGAACTCCCTCCTTGTGCCCTCCTCCCATGCTAGCATGTGCCCCTGGTCACAGCGGAGAAGCCTCTGCCTCAGAACAAGGTTGAAGAGAGGCCTTAGGGAAGGGGGGTGGCCTCCGGCACCATGCAGAGCTCTGGGGACTGCAACTGCCAGGGAGTAGTTAGTCATGGGGCAAGTCTGACCTTTCCTAGGAAGAAAGGAGCAGCTCTCTAGCTTTTACCATGATGCAGTCTGAAACTTAGAGGAGGTTCCCTAACTCCGGAAGCTCCTGTAGTTAGTAGGGTTTACCAGAGTATAACTTTGCTCAGCTTCCAAGTACTTCTTGTATTCATGATTCAGTTTGTCAAAAACAGTTGCAATCACAGACAGTGATCCTCTTCTTGGCTCACTGAGCACTTAGGAGGAGAAAAAAAAATTATAAATAAATTCCTAGAGCAATACAACCTGTAGCTTTGAACTTATCTTTTCTGGAATGTGATCTCTAAACTTTAAGCTTTAAAAGAATCATCTTTTCAGCTAGGGCAATGGCTTTTTAATTAAAGGGAGGGGAGGGAGAGAGAGCTAGGGAAGCTGGACTGTGCTATTCTGAACAAGTCAGAGTATTCTCAGCTTCTGTTCTTCCACAAGACCAAACCAGCTTCCGAAGTGATCTGGGATCTCAATTCCAGCTAACAGGAACAAGTGCTGAGTGAATAAGCAGTATTTCACTTGCACTGAATCCTAGTAAAGCACAAAAAACCAACCCCCCTTACTTTGTGAGCACACAGCTAGGATGACCATTTTGCATTCTTTCCTCTGGAGCAGGAAATCCATCAGTCTTCCTTTATCAGGCAGAAGGTTAACTACAGGCTCAAGCTTCACCTGAAGATTCCACAGGTAGCCTTGATTTAAAGGAATAAAGCAGTAAACAAATTTATGTGAGTAGCAAAAGCTAGAGACAGACTTCTCCCTATAAGAATAGTGAGTGAGCTCTCTTTGCCTTCCTAATGCTATTCTTTTTAACTGTACTAATTACCCCCAAAAGCTGTAATGATACAGTCACCCTCTATTGGGACCAAGACTAATCATCTCCCTGAGTACAGCTCTTTAGTCACTAGTTTAAGCTGCTTTGTGTGCTAAAGGTGGAAAGGAGCCTGTACCTCCCACCGAGAACAGTGCATTCTTAAATCGCTTACTACTCACCTTCACTTGCACTGATGATAATGTCAGGTTGAAAGACAATCCACGAGGAGGAATCTAAATGTTAAAGTCTTAAAACCCTTTTTTCACATTGATTCTAAGCTGTCACTACTGCTTTCATACCCCTTCACCCTGCTGAAAGGGCCTGTTCCTCCCACCCTTATTTCTGGGCCCAGCCCTCTTGTACTTGTGAGGATATGACTCCAGCCTCGCTGTCTCATACTTCTGTTATGATGCACACTCACTAAATCCACACCTGAGTCTAGTGAGTACAGTAGCGTTGAACTGCCTCTTAACAACTCCACAAGCAGAAATGCCTCTTGATAGCAAATTCTTTCCCCTTAAAAATTTTCATCTGTACAACCTGCTCAAGATATAAAGGGTTAGGACTAACATAGTTATCTTCTCGGTCCGTGGTACATAGGAGGAAGCTCCAAGAAGCTCTCAGTCTTAAGAGTATTTAAAGGATACAGAGTTTACATGGAACAGGAGACTGACTTGTCACCGAGGCTGGACCTGCAGATAAACAGACATTAGGTGAAGAACAGCACTACTGGGGTCACCTCTTTCACACTAACAAAGCATCAGCCACCAGCCTAAACCACAAAGTGTGGAGTACAGGTCTAGCAACCTTACAGCATGTAGGCAGAAAGCTGCACCCACTCACAGTGCTAGTGCCCAGGAGGAAAAAAAAACCACAAAACAAAATTGAGTGAGAGAAGCAAAGTAAACTTTCAACCCATGGTAGGCTGTGCTTTTTAACATAAGTGAAATGATGCATGCTGAAGTATTCCTTCTCTAAAACTGCAATTTCAAATGCATAAGTTTCCTTGTTGTATTTATATGTAATCATTTCAGTTCCTTAGAAAGCAAAAGGCCTGCTATACCCTCAAGATTAACACTAACCTTCACCCAGACTTATCCTTCTTTTCCACTAGCGACTCCAGCACAGGGATGTTAAAGACCTACTGTGCAGTCACTTCCTCTTTTCCACTAGCGACTTCAGCACAGGGATGTTAAGACCTACTGTGCAGTCACTTCCTCTTGAAGGGTCTCTTTTACTGCAAGGCCACCCGTTTCCTAGGTGCTAGTGGGGCTGTGATCAGGGGATTTCTAGATGCTCAGAGCTTGAGGGTAACTTGCACAGCACACATATCTGTTACTCCTCTAGCAAAGTGTGCCAGATACTCATGTGCAACTCAGGAAGGTAGAGAGTTGTAATGTGGGCCTAAGCAGCAGGAAATGCTTTTGAATGCAGTTCATGCCACAGTAGCTTTTATAGCTGTGGCAAACTTAAAAAAAATAAGAGTCTAAGACTGTAAAATTGTGAAAGATCTTCCCTGTAATGCTTCAGGGTACTAAGGGAAATACATGTCTTGAAGAGCAACTCCTTTTTGTACTGGGCATAAATCTGGGACAAGAACTTGGGTGCAATTCTCTGGTATCTTCTTTCCTCCCTTTCTTAAATAGGCAAGAAGAGAAGGTCTATAAGCAGACTCCTGCAGACCAGCTCTGGAAGTCAGGAACACAAAGGTTGTTAGGCTGCAGTTCTACCTGCCACAGGTATCTGATAGGGCTGTATTGACCGAGGCGGAAGCACAAACTGATGGATGGTGGTAGTCCCATCAAATTCTCCTTTTAGCTTGATGTCAAATATAACTGAAGTCTGAAATGGAAAACAGAAACTTTTCCTCAGTATCACAGATGTGAATTAGCACCCATTTACAGGTATAAAGGTTATTTTTCACATTTTATCTTGTACTCTCCATTAAGTCGGGCTGGATTCCCTGCTTAATTTATGGATGCGAGGACAGAGGAGGAAAATAGTGCAGCCTCCTACAATACCATTATTTCCACACTCTGTTTTGTTAAACTCTGCTCACTAACACTTGTAAGAGCCTTTAAAGAGGGGAAAGTCACTTCAATTTTGATGCTAATGAAACAAGACTGCTAGACTGAATAGGATAGATAACAGTAATGTCTGGTTTGTCTATACATCCGTGCTTATATCCTGATCCAAATGCTGCAGAACCCTTCTACATGTAGGAATCTAACCCAGAGCTCTTGGTGTGAAACATTAACTGATCACCCCTGTGAGATATGCTAATCCAGCGCTCAATTATCTCCTGCTGGAGAGCTTCCAAAACACAAAAGCCTTTCTGCATTTTAAGTTGCAAGTATCACTTCTAGCTTTCCAACTGCTGAGACTGCAGCCAAGCATGTCTCACATAGGCTCCCTTATGCATATGCTCATTTTAGTTCCTAGAAGTTTCAGCAGGTCTGGATCTTTAAAGAGAACTGATCACTCAAATGCTTGTTTCTGAGCAGTTCCCAGCACTTGCAATTTAGTATCCAATATAGCTGCCTTTTTGTACATGCCTTAAAAGACTACACAGCAGGATTATCATAGAGAACTAACAAAGTAAAAGGATTAAAAAAGAAAAAAGCAGGTAGTGGGAGAGCACCCTAATTAAGTTTAGGCCAACAGCATAAGCTTAGGCCTTTTAATTTCTTCCTCTATGTTCTGTGCTTTTTATTTTACATTTTGTTCCTGCAGCTACTATGGATTTATTTATTTATTTATTAATAAAGCTAAGCACCTGCAACAGAATTTTCCAGGGCTAACAGACCCAGTTAAGATCTGCCTATAACTTTTAAAAGTTATGGCATAAGAAAATATAAATCAGACCTCAGTGTCCTGATGATGTACTACCACCAAGTTATCCACAACATTTAGTGCAAACTTTCCTGTTCTGTTCAGCTTTAAAATATGGGTCTTCTTACAGGAGCCTTCCCTATAGAAATAATTAGAGATGAGAAGAACTAGTCAGTAAGCCTAGTTAAAGCAGAAACATCCAAGCCTTGCACCACTTCTATTCCTCCCCGTGCTCTTACCTGGGTAAGTGATAGAGAACTACTTCTGCTCCTGTGCTATTGGAAGTCCTCGAGTGATGCCTCAAGTAGAGCACATAAAGCTGCCCATATCTAATGAGAGAACAGGATTATGGCATTACTTTCACATAAAGAGCTAGGAAGGATATGAGACTCGGATCTCCTTTCTGCAACACAGGCAGGAACTTGTCTTATTCTACTAATCACCCCCAGCCATATGCCTGATCCTCAGAGGCCAGATAACTGGGTCAGGTGACCAATTAAAGCAGAAAACTGCAATACTGCTTGATAAATCATATAAACCACATAGCCTCTGCTCATGCAAGTTACACATTTAGGAGCAGCCCTACCAGGGCATCAACTTAAAGATGTAGCATTCATAAAGATTAAGATGGAAGAAAAAAAACAGCTCCTCTGTTAGCTCCATCACCCTCCACCCACTCTGAGGCTCCTTCAGGCTCTTTGCTCAAGCAGTGACCAAGGCCCTTTGGGGCAGACTCCTGCTCAACACCAGAGCCTCACGACCTGGTTACTGTTCTCGGCCTTTCTCAGCATCCCCAGGCTGCCCTGCTGTGCCCAGGGAGGGAAGGCTTGGTCAGGCAGAGGCACGTACATCGTAGCCAGCGCGATGTCTCTCTCAGAGAGGCTGAGCTTGGAGGACTTGGGTGCTGCAGGTAACTCGATCTCAAATTTGGAGAGCTTTGACATCGTTCCACTCTGTTACACGGTAGCAGCAAAGAAAAAAAAAGAGCAGTAACAACAAAAATTAATGTCAAGACTTGAGACAGAAAAGTCTTGACTAACCTTTAGACATATGCTTTATCAACAGCCTTGCCCTGAGGTGAAGAATAGTGGTATTAAAAAAATAAATAAATAAAAATTGATACATGTTTAGGATCACAGTTCCAAAAAGCAGTAGTTATGGTGCTGTAAATTTAGCAGCTTGAACAAAACAAATGGCTAAACAATTGGCTAAACAAACGAACAAACAAATCAATACAAAACTGTTCACAAATCCCATTTACAGTTTGCCAGAAGATTTCTGCCAGTTCTCCAGTTTCCTTGATGCCATTGAAACATCTTCCCCCTCTTACTGGGAAGGAGGAACATCAACACCTCCTACCAGTCAGTCTTTTATTCCTGCTAACTCCAGTATCTGCCTTATACTCAGAGAACACCCCTGCTCCTTCCTAAGGTTTCTTCTCTCCTCTTTCCCCCCACAGAAGTTATATTTACACAAATTTCCTTAAGTGCCAAAACCCTAAAGCTTCTACAGAGGCTCACCTACCCTTCTCGTTAAATTATTCTTGATCGTAAGGTATGAACACTACAGAAACTATATTTATAAAGATTATTTTGTTATAGTGACTATCTACCTCAGGAAGTCTTTAAAAATTACCTCCTAAATACAGGATAAAGATTATCTATCACCTACTGGCTGCAAACTGAAATCAAGCACTAAGAAAGCGGGAGCACAACCTGGGTCCCTGCAAGGAAAACAGTGACAATCTAGTAAGTTCCACCCAGTCACCTGTGCAGAGAGCATCATGTCAAGATCCCTCAGTCCATATCATCTCAAGCCAGGAAACCTATTTAATCGAGTTTAATTAAAAGAATTATCTTCTCTTGGACCACTGTGAGGAAACTTTAATTTTTTTGATAAGTGCTGTAGTTTAGTTCCTCAGTTTTTAAACCATTTTACTGTATGACTAACTTAAAAATAGATTCTGTTTTTTACTGCAGTTTTTCTCAAGCCAAAAAAAAAAAAAAAAAAACATATTTTCCCTCTAACTTTAAATGCTGTCCACAGAGAAGAACATCAAGAGAAACAAATATTGTAAACTAAGTTCTCTCATTACGGGGACAATTGCCATTTCTGATGTGCCACCTTTTTTCTTTTGTTCATTTTCAAATTTATCCATTTCCATTTGGAAGGTACAATCACAAGGAAAGATCCTTAATGCAAATGCCCATACGGGAAATAGAAGAAACATACATACATACATATGCTCTCTTAAATGCAGATGTGTCTCTTAAGAGGCTTAATTTGGCAAGTACCGGCACAGGAATTGCCCCTACTCCTTTCTCAAAGCCCCCTGTCCTGCTGCAGCTAGATGCACTTCTTTCCGAAGCTACCAGAAAGAAAGGGGAGTTACTCTCCTAGGAATTAACTTCCAGGTTTTCGCTTTGTCTTTTGCTCATGCATGCATGTAAATACATGCACCTCTTCAAAGAACTCTAGGGGAAGGAACGCAATATTCAAGCGAAGAAGTAGCCAAAAACATAGTACACAAAGTTCAGAACCTATCCCTTTACCTTGAAATAGAAGGGCTGCAGGACATTGCCGAGGACAGTGGTGGACAGAAGAATAACAGAGCTCTCCGGGCAGTACATATACCAGTTAACATTAATACTCTGATTTTTCAGAAGTTTTAAACTTCGTTTCTCTGGTAATACCTGGAACCAGGATTTAAACAATTACATTCCCATCAGGTTTGCAACAGGACACACACAAATGTGTCTAACTGCACATTAGATCCTTTTCAGATTCTAAGGAGCTCAAAGGTGATGCCTCTTCCCTTGTCTAGGTACAACATCCGGGTATAAATGGAGAAAATACCTAGAGTTTAGGCAATGACTTATATTCTATAATTTCTGCAATAACTTTGTTGCCTTCCCCACTCTCCATTTATTATTTTTTTAATAAAAATTAAAATGAAGAGAATCAGTTTATGTATGATCTTAAAAAGCTTCAGTAATTTAATTCATTTATTCGTTCCTCTTCCTTGCAGGGATGATGTTCATTAAAATGTAACCTTTTTAGCTGCCAAGTATCTTCCACTCCCTGCTCTCCCAAATCATCAAGAAATAATGCTTCATTTTTAATCATAATTTAGTATCAGTTATTAGTAACAGTAATTAAATGAAACACTGTGGCATCGTTCCATGATTACTTGTATGCAACTATGCACAGAGCTTATAATATCCCTCACCATCATCATCAGAAAGGGCTATCCCTTAGCCCTTAGACTTCTCCAAAAACACATTCAAAGGTAATTAAAATAAGAGCAAGGAACTCAGACAGTGGCATCAACACATGAAGAGGTTATTAATTTGCAGAATGATACCATTATCTTATACTATTTTATTCTATCAACACTTATTGCAAACTACCCTCTCTTGAAATATTTCACATTAGATTTCAATGTTAATTTCCACACAACATTCTTCATACAAAACAATCATTCTGTCTCTTTAACAGTTCATTTTCTAAATCTGAAGACTAGAAAATAGGAGCTCAAAAATACAAGCTACAGACATCCAAATCTCCAAACGTTTCTGTGTTACAAGAATTACTTGAACTACCTGGTAGAATTCAATTCCTTGATCTGTGATGAAGACTATTTCTGTAGAACTTGTCCAGCAGAATCCTAGAATATTGGCGTTCTTGGTCTTTCAACATAGAAGCAAACAGACACTCTTTTACTTGGTTAAATCAAGTATTCAGATAAGCTAGTATAATTAAATGAGAGATCAAAGATAATTCAGTTAACCAACCACTGAAGTTGTTGCTTTCTGCAGTTAGACACAGAACATGCGTTAGCTGTTTTTAAAGACGACTCCTAAAAGCACGCGTGCATAAAACTACGACATGACCAGTGTTTTTGGTGATATGAGAAATTTCCATTTATTATCTAGTGAGTTTTTCTTCTCCCACCAAAAGCCAACAAGTATCTTTCAGTGTCTTTTGGCTCAAACTGTATTACTAAGTCAACCAAATCCTGGTATGAAAAGCCTTTTCCTTCTGTTGCCAGAAACGAAGGACTAAGTGGAAATACTTCCCGTGACTTCACTCACAGCACTACCAGGAAGGCTCTGCAAGGATCGTGTACTCAGAAAGATAATCACACATGATGCAATGAAACACAGTCAGTAGAAATAAAGGAATCTTGGGAAGTCATAAGTTTAAAAATAAAACTGCATTGCCCTGAACTGTAACTCTTAGTTATAGGTTTGAAAGTTCCAAATAAATGCAATGATATTTAATAAGGTTGGTCCAAAATAATAAAAATATAATGCAAACTAGTAACAGCTTACTATCACTTAGATTAGGGTACAAAATCCAAATTGTCATATGTCATCCTAGTAAAATCATTGTACACTGTTTTTACAGAAACAGAACTTAGTTTCTTCTCCTCCAATCTTGACATTTGTTTCCTCCACAGCATTTCCAGTCCTTTCTAGGAAAGGATTAAAGTGACTCAGACCAGGATGATTTTCTGGATGTCGTTAACACTTGGCCATTAGTCTCGTTCAGGTAGATAGTAGTGACTACATATATCATTTATTTCACAGTAGGCTTTTATTTCACAATAGCCATTATCTCAATTAGTTCTCTCGTAGAGTAGAAGCAATCAGGATAACTAGCCTCACTTAAGCATGTAAACTTTGGACGCTGATTTAACATACCTTACATTCCTGTGTATATTCTAGCTGAGGGCTGTCTGGAATAAAATTCAAAAAATCCTGAAACAAGGCACATGAAGTACGTTACCAATTATGAAGCAAGTAATACTACAGAAAAGATAAAGGAGATTATAAACTTATCTATCTCATAAATAGTTTGATAAATTACACTATTATCTCCTTCCCCTTCCAGAGAGGGCTTTAGAGACATTAGCTTTTCTGGTTTGGATATTGTTTTAAATTAGTGATATTAGCAAACAATAATGCTCACAGCTGGCTGTTCCAGGTGACCCGAGATAGAGGAATTTCTACAAAAGCTGTATTTGCCATAGCTACCTCAGAAGCTTCCACTCTGGCATCAAGCACTACTAGAGCTCTAGCTCCTATTCCCGACCTGAAGAGTACAGCTTTCTTACCACATTCTTCAAAGTCCTCTGGACTGCTAGTATCTTGTTTCCCAAGGAAAACTTGATGCATTTCACTTCCCCTTTATCTTCCATCCTGTACAAGAAAGAAAATACTGAGGAAATAATGTCTAAGATAAGTTTGTTGCAGAGTTAAGACAAATGCTCTTGAACTTGTCTAGCAGCTCTCTTAAATTGTGTTCAGGACCCAAAATTCATGCTGAAAGATAAAAGCAGTTCACTGTGCAGGAGGTACTGCACATATTCATTACAGAAGTATTACCAAGTCCAGGCAATGTAAATTAGCACCTATAGTCACTAAAAATGCTCAGCTTTGTTTGCTTATGATGTAGAATTAGAAGGCTGCAAGTGTCCAAGTGTGCATTCTCAGGGCTATTCAGCAAGCCTGGGATAAGCCTGTGACATCCCCAAAGCAGCTCCTTTTCTTCCAGGAAATTTGTACCTGCCCTAGTCTCTCATCTTTACAGCATGTTTTTAATGAAATATTGCTGTTAAAATAAATAAAAAATAAATGAGCCACAGCCTAATTTTCTTTCAGAAGACTACATATTCACAAGGGCAGAGCCTGCCATGTTAACTGCAAGATGACGTTTTGAGAATAAAGTCAAAAGCTGATGACAATTATTTATAATTTTTTTTGTCTGAGTTGCAGTATATCAGGACTAACCACCACATAATTCTAAGACCAGGAGTTCTGTGCTCATGCAACAAAGATGAAGATGCCTTACCTGAACGAGATGGGGTTTTTATCCTCCAAACCTTTAACAACAACTCCAGTAGCTCCACCAGATCGAACAGCGAAAACCTGTAACAGCAATTTAACGAGCACTGTAGCTTACTCAAAATCATAGCCTCAATAAGCTCTTTCCCCTATAGGCCACATTTTTTTTGACTGGACACGATTCTTACAAAGATCTGTGAATTCGCACTAAGAATCACTGCATTCGATTCCTTCCTCTGAAGCTCCAGGATTACTTGTCACTGATCTATGCAGAAAATAACCTAATGCTTCCCATAGAACAACATCAAAGGAAGGAAATAGCACACAGTACCTCAAAAATTAAATTCTAATGTTAAAAAAAAAAAAAAAAAAAAAAAAAGCCATTCTCATATTAGCACATAGAACTTAAAATATATCTTTTATACCAGTTAACTTTTCAGCAAATACACCTATTTTTACATGCCCTATCATAAGCAGATTCTTAAGGGAAATTTTCAGTCCTAACAAACTCTGGAAGCAACCATCTATCATACTCATAATCAATCTCTGAAAAGATCTGGTAGGCAAATTCTAAGTTACTGGGCAAGTCAAAAGTAAGAATAAAAAAAAAAAGTATGAGCTTAGTTTTGGGGGATTATATTCATATTTCCCTCAAGTCAGGTATTAGTAAAAATATCCTGTCCTGGTTTAAAATAATCATACCCACTAGTTAGGTGGGTAGGAAAAGGAAAGGCACACCGTACTGCCCCAAAGGTTGGATCCTGTCCAAGCCTGTTATCAGGCAGGAACAGTTTAATAATAATAGACAGCTTTACCTCTCCTTATGGAGAACATTAACACTACTCGTGAATACACTTACTTACATTTACAACCATAGTATAACTGCACATACAGCTGCATAAAACCTGTTAGAGTAATATTGCTTGTTGAACTGGAATAAGCTTACATTTAAACAAAAAAGAAAAAGAAAAAGAAAAAAAGAGCTTCTACAAACTCTCTGAGAAAAAGAGTAATAATAATAATAAAAAGGCTAGACACATTCATTATAATCATAATTATGTCTGTAGAGGCATTAACACAAATCACATCTCGGACTAATAGGTATATTATTGTGTAGCATTAGCCATGCTACTAGAGCAGCATGCTCACACAGGAGCACAGGTTTTCAAGGCTACGCACCATAGGTAAGACTACAGCCCCACTAGAATGATAAAATATTGAATTTAAACATTTCATATACTGCTCGTAGACAGAATAATGAAGACAATGCTGTCTCAAACTTTTATTTAAACTTTTTAAGTTAGTTATTTAGCCAGTTATCATGGAATGAACCAAAACCAATAAAGAAGATGAGAAGGTAGCAAGGACAGATGTCTCAGAAGACTGTTTGTGTGGCAGTTACTGAAATGCTGGCCACAAATGATTAAAAAAGAAAGTTTAAGGTAGAAAAAAGGAATAATTACAATTGGAAAATGTTTGTTTTAAATGAGCTCTTAACATTCAGTTTTAAATCTCACCCACAATTAAACACAGTGTCTCCAGACAAGCTGTCATATTTCAACTGTCCCTCAAAACGCGAGTAAAGGATTAGGGGTTATGCAGAGGAGAAACACTACTGATTCAGAACAGAGAGCAAGAAACACTTCCTAGACACATCCCCCAACACGACACTGATTTTTTCCATAGCTTGCCTGAACATTTCAATTCTGTGGATGCTTCAGCTGCAGAATGATTAGAAAAAATAGATGGGAATTCTTTCTGCTGTCTAACTGAACACCATGATATTCAATTGCACAGCTTGTAGGTACCCCCAGTCAACTGTTCGGGAGTTTACAGGGATGTAGATATTAAGAAAGAAGCTCATAAGAAATGACTGGGAAAGAAGCAAAGAAGCAAAGAAAATAAAAGCATCCATTCAGGTTTGAGCCACAAGTAAAGCTGTAAAGCTACAGGCTATTCAGACTAGAAAAAAAATAAAGAAAAAAAAAAAGGGCCACATTCTGGAAGAATTCCAGAAAGCCCTTGCGATAGGTATCAACAACAACACTGCAGATGAAATCAACAAAATAAATGTACCCTTATAGAAATTGAGACAAAAATCATCTTTGCTTGCCAAAGGACAGCTTGAGAGCTAACCACGGCCATGTGGCGAGAACAGATGCTCCAAGGTTGGGGCAGCCCACACAGGTGGAACCCCGAGCAGAGGAACCTCAACAGCAATGGAGAAAAAAAATAAAAATAAAAAAATACAGATGAAATCAACAAAATAAATGTACCCTTATAGAAATTGAGACAAAAATCATCTTTGCTTGCCAAAGGACAGCTTGAGAGCTAACCACGGCCATGTGGCGAGAACAGATGCTCCAAGGTTGGGGCAGCCCACACAGGTGGAACCCCGAGCAGAGGAACCTCAACAGCAATGGAGAAAAAAAATAAAAATAAAAAAATAAAGAAGTGAGTACCCCAAGCCTTGGTACATCGAGGAGAGGGAAGGAGAAAGGCAGGGCGCGGAACGGACGCTTGGGACACGCGCGGAGGCCGCCCCCCCCGGTGCCCAGCC